TTTCTTTGTGTTTGTTGTTGTTGTAGAGCACATTAAGTCAAAGAAGAGAGAGAGAGAGAGAGAGAGAGAGAGAGAGAGAGAGAAGAGAAAGAGAGCACTAGCTCACTGGGCTGGGCACAGTTCTGTATGTGTTGTATCTCAACAATATGTGTATTAGCCTGAAAGAGCATCCCGGCTTGTCATCATGAAAATACTAGAAACCCCAAAGACTCTCCAGATTATTTTGTGGAGTACAGGACATACTCAGGAACTAGTGATATGATCAATTTGATTTTCTTCAAAGCATCTTTCTTTGGAAAGATGTCTCAGTGCATCTTCTCTTCATGGCCACTAGCTTTCATACCAGGATGTGATTATCTCTCATTGTGCTTGCAGCATTATTTTACTGAAAAACCTTCTTGGACATCTCATTTTTCTCTTAGATTCTCATTGTATTTCATTCACCCATGTCTTTGTTGCAAGTAGGTAGAAGGCATTCATGATCTGGTAATTTCAGTTGAGAGGTATCTTCAGGAGCCCTTGCTGTGTGGGTAGAAGAAGAGCTAGCCAGAGGAGGAAGCAGAGGACCTTGGGCTGCCTTGACCCTGTAGCATCTGATGGGATAATTAAACATATGAAGGCAGTTTGCCCATGCTGGCTACAGTATCTTTGAGCCTCCAGAGGGCTCAAGTTCCCGCATTCTCATAAGCAGAGCATCTGTGGCCTATTCTGACCTAAGACCCATCCAAGGCTGAAAGCGGAAGTCACTTCTGAGGACCCCCACCCCACCCCAGCAGGGCAGGCCCTGGGTGAGGCAGAAGGCAGGAACAGGCATTCCTACTGTGATGTCCTCTTCCAAACCACCTTCTTAAGGCATGAGATGACTTAGAAATAGAAAGGAGAGAATGAGCAAGGGAGTGAAGGACAGAAGGAGAGAGACAGAGAGGGAAGGGAAGAGGCCTCTTTTCAGAAAATGGGAAATTTTTTTCCTATTGTAATTTTTAATGCCTTTTAAGCACAGAAGACTGCCTTCACTTTCCAGAACATATTACAGTAGTGCCCAACTCCAGTTCTTCTTACCTAGAAAATAGAAAAGTGAGCTGGGCGTGGTTATGTGCATCTATAATCCTAGTATTCTAGAGTCTGAGGCAGGAGGATTGCGAATTCAAAACTATCCTGGGCTACGTAGCAAAATCCTGGCAAAGGAAGGGAGAGGGAGTGATGGGGGAAAAGAAAGAGGAAGAGGGGGGAAGAAGGAGGATGGGGGCTGGAGAGATGGCTCAGTAGTTGGGAACTCTTGCTATTCTTCCAGAAGATATGGTTTAGTTCCCAGAATGGCAGCCAACAACCGTCTGTAACTCCAGTTCCAGGGGATCTGCATGCATGTAGGCAAAACACTCATACACATAAAAAATAAAATATTTTTTAAGAAAGAAGGAGGAGCACAAAGAGGAAGAGCAAGAGAAGGAAGAAGTCTAGTGTCAGGGTCACTGGCAGACCTCAAATTCAGGGCATTTTCAAAGAAAAAGCAGCCCTTGTACTAATCCTTGGCATTCGGACAGCATCATGTGGTAAGCTGTTGTATTTCTACTTTCTGACTTAGCACTGTTTCAAAGCCTGCCATCCAAGAAGGTGACAGTTGTGTTTAAAAACTTCAAAGGGGACTGACATCAAAGGAGCCTGTTGTCCAGAGACTGGCAGAATCTGGGGGCTCCCACATGCCAGTTCCACGCCCTCTGTGATCATTTCATCTTCACATCTCTCCTAGGGCAGCATGGTTTTATCACCATCGTGCAGGTGAAGGTACAGAGAGGTTGAAGGGGAACTAGCCTAGAATCTCAGTGTCACAGTGAGGATTAGTCTGGGCTGCAAAACCCCTGACTTCTCTGTAAGAGAAGTCTTCAGATCCACCGTTGCTCAAAAACACTTGACCATGCTGCCCAGTTTCCTATGGTTCTGTAGATCTCTTATCACCTATTCTCTGTCCTTACTCTATCTTTTCTTTTAAAGATGCTGAGCACAAGAGTGACAGCCAAGGTTCTAATAAAGTAGCTGAGGAGCCAGGGGATGCTACTTCTCCAGAAATTGTGGAGATGGGCCAGGTAAGGGGGGCCATTTTCCCAGGCCTGAGGGATGGGGATGGGCCTGGGGCTACTTGTGACACTGGGTATATCTTTGTGCTGGGATCTTACTGAGAAGTTCTGTCATCTGCTTCAGGAAAGACCCTTCTTGCATTAAGATAGAGAAACTGCGTGAATATGTATGCACAATCAAAGCCTCATAAGCATGCCCCAGAATGCAGGTCAAAATGGGATTTCAGCCTGTATTAATTACCTTTCTTATTACCATGACAAAAATGCCTGATAAAAGCAACCTTAAGGAAGAGTTTGTTACAGTTCACAGTTTAAGGAGGCTGCAGTTCATTATGGAGAAGAAGTATGGAAGTATGGCAGTGGGAGCATGAAGCCGCTGATGGCATTGCATCTGCAGTCGGGAAGCAGAGAGAGATGAATGCTGGTGTTCAGATGGCCTCCCCTACCATCCCCACTTCTAAAATTCAATCTGGGACCCCAGTTCATGGGATGGCACCACCCATATCCAGGGTAGATCTTCCCTCCTCAGTTAAAGTTCTCTAGAAACGCCTTCAAAGATACGCCCAGAGGTGTGTCTTGTAGGTGATTCCAAACCAGTCAGGTTGACAATGAAGATTAACTATCACAAGCTCACTCCTTATCACCGCGACGCCTAAATATACCACTTTTAGCCATAACGCTTTACCAGTGATCCTCAAAGATTCATGGGCATCTCATAATGGAAAATACATTTAGTGTATCACTAAAGTTCCCATAGTCTTTACCACTCCCAGCACTGTTCAAAAGTCTAGTCTGTTTGCAGACTGAAGGTAAGCTCTTTCTTTTTATTTATTTAGTTCTTTTTTTTTTTTTTTTTGAGTCAGGGTCTTTCTGTATTTCCTGCTGTCCTAGAACTTGCTATGTAGACCAAGCTGGCCTTGAACTTACAGAGATCTGCCTGCCTCTGCCTCCTAAGTGCTGGGATTAAAGGTGTGCACCACCATACCTGGAAAAATAATCTCTTTCTTTTCTTGTAAATCCCTACAAAACTGCAAAAATTGCATACTCTAATATCTACCAGTGCAGAGTAAATATTCCCCTTCTTAAAGAGAGGAATAGCGGTATGGCAAATGAAAGTCAAGCAAGATGAAAACCCAGCGCAGCAGACCCCAAACATTGCAACTAAATTTCACATCTGGGGCTCTTGGTGGCGTCGTCTGGGCTTCAACTGCCTTGGGTAGCCCCATGCCTCCAGCTCTGCCACCTGTGGCACCTATGATCTTTTTCCTGGTCTAACTCCAATCTGTGCTTCCAGTTTTCTGTGCTGAATGTCTTGTATGTAGCCCTGGTATCTCCAATATCCTGGTGTCTCTATTACAACTCAGGCTTCACTTTCTCAGCTTCACACAGTGGGCTTTCAGGGATTCCTTGGCAGGGACTCTGACCCTGCAGCACTTTTCTTGGCCTCTGTGGCTTTCTGGAACATTGGTGCAAGATTCCATGATCCCATAACTCTTGTATTGTATATTCCTGTAAAACTAGCGCCATGTGAACGGCACTGCCAAATTCTGCAAGCTCAAGATGACAGCCCTTTTCCACCTTCCTTCCTGTCCATTCCCTGACTTTAGGAGGCTAAGGTAGATAAAGATGCTCAGTTAAAACTGATTAGTAAATCCAAACTTCCTGAAGAGACTTAAAAGCATGTCCCTTTCTGCCCTGATTGGACTTGTTGCATTGTACAAATACCTGTCAGTTCCCTGGAGAGCTTCCAGCCTCACTACACTTGTATGGTCTCAGAGGAAGCTTTCCTTTGCCTTCCTGTGGCCAATGTGACTTTAATGACAGGGTGTTGCTGCTACAGTAAAGGATAAATCCACACCAGGGAGTCTGGAACCAGCCATATGACAAGATAAATAGGGCTTAATGGATAGGCCCAGGAAACTAGCCATCATTACATTTGGATTACCAGTATTATAAAAAAAATGCCCATATATAGGGTGGATTCCAGTTCCTCATATACTCCTGATGAAGTTCAGTGCATGTTCCTTTGTCCTCAGGGCCTAGGCCACTCAGGTCTCCTCCTTAGAAGACCTCAGCAAGAGGTGGGGAGGAGTGGGTGAGATGAATGGGCTCACTTCTAGGTTGATCTTAGCAGACTGGCACCGTGTCAGCACTCAGCATGGGCAGAATCCACGCTGGGCTTTCCTGAATAGCTCTCTCAACTTCTGCTTGACTGACTCCTCCACAGGATCGGGAGCAGGTAAGAGCCACTGTCTCCTGAGCTCAGCCTATCTTTTCTGTTTTTATCTTTTTTGCCTCAGACCCAAAAAAAAAAAAAAAACCCCTCTCTCCCCAACACACACACACACACACATGCACACACGCACACATGCACACACACACACATGCACACACGCACACATGCACACACACACACATGCACACACGCACACATGCACACACACACACATGCACACACGCACACATGCACACACACACACATACACACACACACACACCAAATCTTGGGGGAGAAGAAGGAAGAAGGACCTGAGATGTAGCAGTAGGTCACTTGGATTATCTTCTCTGATTTTCATGTTGTCTCTATGGAAGAATGCTCGCTGACAGCCCAAACCACAAAAGACTCAACAGGTAGTGGTTGGGCATCATATCAAGTACAGTTTTATTCTTGTAGATCAAGCGATCACAATGGTCAGGCACTCTATTAAGTGCTGAGGATGCCCCCAAGCCAGAAAACAGCCCCATCCTTTAAGAGATTATACACAAAGGAAGGAGAAAAGGCTCTCAGTGAAGTGTGTGGAGAGATGGAAGATATCCAGAAGAGGGAGCTGAGAAGGGACTGGAACCTTTCAAAGAAGAGTGGTTGGTGTGGATAATTGAGGGAAATTAAACTGATTAGTGAGTTTCTTTTTGTTTTTTTTTTTTTAAAGAGGCTTCTATTTCTTTTTTTAAAAAATAGTTTATTGAGAATTTCATACATGCATATGAGATATTTTGATCAAATTCATGCCCACCCCTTCCCTCCAACTCCTTCCATATCTCCCTGTCACTTTTTTTTTCTGATAACTTCATGTACTCTTTCTTCTTTTTTTTTAAATGGGGTTTTTTGCTACTCTAACATTCCCCCCTCTGAAGAGGTAACCCTAAAATCTTTTAAGGATTAGATAAAAGCTCCCAAATACTTTAGACGTTTTTTGCCTTTGGAACAGAGTATGTTGCTAAGAGATCCAAGGACATTTTGACTTTTAGCCAAGAAACTGGCTACTTTTCTTTGGGGTCTTTTTACCCTAACTGCCTAGCCAATTCCTACCTCCTATTCTTATCACACCATCCTCTGAAGAGGTTACCCAACTTGCAGATAGGGAATCGGGATGCATACCACTCTGGCTTCTTCCATGCTGAACAGAGATGCAGGGTGAGGCAATTGGGGTACCCCTTCAGTTGGTCTATCTAAACGACTCCCAAATTACATATCACCACATGGAGGCAGGATCCAGGAGCTCTCAGACAGTCCCCTGAGCTCTCAACCCCTATGTCAGAGGGAAGCCAGAACTGGCACAGAGACTTCTATTTCTGTCTAAAACAGCACACCTTGTGGTGCTGCAACAGACACTGCATTTTTTTCTCCTGCTTCAGATAACCAAAACATGACAGTACACACACACACATACACACACACACACACACACACACACACACACACGTGAAGTAGAAAATATTCTGAAGATGCTGCTTTCACGATAACAAAGGACAGAGATGTACTAGAGATGGGAAACAAGATGAGTGAATCCTGTGATTGTCCCAACCTATATTTGAGAAAGTTTTTAGTCCACCTCACAGGATAGGAGAAACAGATTTCCTACATCGTAAAGATGTATCTATAAGTCCATGTAGACAAAGTTACTGAAGTTTGAAAGGCAGAGTAGCAGAGGCGGGAGCAACATAGACAGAAAGCTACATCATTAGCAAAGAATCACTTTTATGTGTTCAGCTGAATGCTATCCAAGCAGATACGTAAGGAAACTACTAAGGTCAGACTGAGGAAAGAGCCTCCCAAAGGGACTAGGGTTAACAGTGCTTAGTGCTCAGACAGGGCTGGGAATAGTTTCTGTATTCAACAAACTAGAAAACAGTATATGTCAGAAGGCATGGGGAAAGTACATATACGTCTCTCTTGGCTCAGTAGTGGGGAACAATTAGTTCTAGAGATAGTACCATTCCATTCCATCTAATGAATCTTAAAAGCAAGAAGCAAAGGAATCAAACTCTTTCCAGGTATTCAGCTGAGTCTCAAAGCCCAAGAATATTTGTAAGACTACGAAGTTATCTGATGGCTCATTGGTTAAGAATATTGACTGCTCTTGCAGAAGACCTAGGTTCAGTTCCTAGCACCCACATGGCAGCTAACAATCTTCTGTAACTGCAGTTTCAGGGGAATTGATGCCCTCATCTGGCCTCCATGGGTATTTCATGATACAGGTTTACTAACATACATGCTGGAAAAACACTCACACACATAAAATAAAAAATAAAGCAAAATAACGTTTTTGAAAATCAATACAGAATTATCCTGCTAACTAGGTAAATTTTTCGCTAGGTAAATGGTCAGAATTCAATCAAATTTGCGATGTACTCACAAAAGGGAATATCTGATGCATAAGGTAGAGATATATTCATCGTGATCTGAAATGGTAGACAAGAATATTAAAAGAATTATTTAACTGTATTTTATTTGTTCCAAAGAGTAAAGACAGATATAGATGATATTAAAATGACCCAAATTAGGCTTCCAGAGATAAAATAAATTACAGAAGTTGAAAAACACATCAGAAAGATTGATAACATTATGTACTGTGGATGGAAAGAGTATTAAACTAGAAGTATAGAGAAATGAGAAGTTTTAAAACTTTGATGAGATAATGACAGAATTCCAGTTACTGAGTAGGTCTGCCAGGTGCCCTTCCCTTCAAACAGAGAAGATCAGAACAGAGGGAAACCACAGGTATTTA